TTTTATCAAAATAAAGTGAAGCAAAAAAAAAAAAAAAAAAAAAAAAGCTGAGTGAATGAATATATATCAATTAGAAATATATGGCTTTTTCCCTCTCTGGAAAGAATGTACATGAGCTCTGTGGCCCACTATAGAGAATGCCAGGACTCCAAGATGACTTCTGTTGTACCATTGAAAAGAGAAGAGACTCGGATGTGAAAGTAGGGGGCTGCCCAGCTGGATACCGATGCAGGATTTCTCTCCCATTGCACTGCTGGAGCATTTCAGACTGGTTACAACTGGTATTACAAGTACATCACTGGGAAGAAAGGGAGCACTGGGGCCCTGAACAAGGGGCTGGCAGCCTACAGGCTTTTCACCTACTGCCTTTCTTACAAGGAACTCAAACTTGAGCGGTGACGCAAGCACCACTGAGAAGGGGCCAGTGTGGAGGGTGCACTCTGCAGTCTAGCTTGCGCCTGCCTCGTCCTGCTCCCATCTGTGAACAGCTTAATCATGGCTCAATGTGTTCTTAGCCTAAGTGAGAATTAATGCTTAATAAAAGGTGATCACTACAAAAAAAAAAAAAAAAGAATATACATGAACTAAGGCTATAATATCTTAACTATCATTCAAGGGACTCAGTTTCCCAAAGTGGGTTGAGTTATACCCACAAATCTATTTTTTGGAAGCGGGGAATTGTCAAGATTCAGTTCAGTTAATAGTCAGTTTTAGGAGAACAAACAATCACATATCCACCATCAGCTATCACCAGCTACAAAGCACAATCTCTGGGCTCCTTCTGGGCCCTCCTGGTCAGAGCAGAGGCTGCAAGGCATGGCTGCACTCGAGGAGCCTTCCACTAAGGCTTCCACCACGTGCTACATAGAAATCCTCCTGGAATGGTTCCTTCAGAACCAAGGGCCAAAGGTCAGATTCAGACATCTTTGCCATCCTTCCCTGTGGGGAGAACAATGTGACCCTTGATGTGGCTGAGACACAGAGGGGTCTGCATGAAAGCGAAGCTGCAGCTGGGCTGTGACACTGAGGACACATGTGGCTGCTGCACCAATGACAGGATAAATATGAGAGGCACGGCACAGGCTCAGCCGAAGCCAGGGAAATCCAAGTGCAGGGCCAGGCGGAGGAGTGGCATCAGGCCAGAGGTCTGCCCGCTGCCCAGCTCTGTGCTGGCACAGGTGCAACTTGGGATTCAGGGCCTGGGACGCTCAGTCACGAGCTGCCTCCCAGGCTCCGCTCCACTGCTCTCACCCCGCAAGCTCCTGTCGGACGGCTCAGCTTCCCACTGCAAGCCCGCGGTCTGCCAAGCAGCTGAGGCCTGCCTGCTCCAGTGGGCAGCCGAGCACTTCAGCGCTGAAAGCCCTTCTCCAGATGTGAGGGTAGCCCCTGTGCCCAGGGACCCGTGGAAACCCCAACGCACTCTTAGAAAACCGTTCCAAAGCTAACAGCCATAGCAGGCCACCTGCCCCCAACAGTTGTCACTAAGAATTCGTGCTGTGAAACTCCTGAGAAAGAGACATTAGAAAGCTCTATTTTGAAAGCAATATAAACCTAAAGGGTACTTTTGAATTCTGGGTGTTTGACTTCTGAAAGGGTGTTAAACCTGTTCAAGAGTGCGTGCAGACCTGTAAACCCCTTGAATTAATGGCAGGACTCCATCTCCATTCAACAAAGCCACATTCTCGTGATCCACTGGCATGGCTAATCCTACTCATGGGGTTGGTTGGTGGCTGCTCCTGGGGGAGCCACTGGGACTCTGTGCACTACCCAAGACAAGCTGCCACCAGGGCAGGCCAGCCCTCCGCCTGGAAAGAGACGGCTAGAAACTGCTTGCCCAGTTAGAGCAAAGCAAGTGACTTTCCGAGTCATTTGATGAGCAGGAGCGACAGGGATAGGAAGGTCACAGGACAGGGAGCCAGGGAAGGAGGCCTCCGTCCCACATGCACACTTGCCAGCAGGGTCTCCTTGGCACAGGCCCTGCCAAGGCTGAATATGGTCAACTGCCTCCCCAAGGTAGCCTTCTTTGGCCGCTCCTGCCTACACTGCCACCCGAGTTCCTCGCCGGCGCCAGGCACGGACTGTGCTATTTCTGCATGTGTCCCCTCCTTCACAGGCTTGTCCGGGCTGTAGAGCACTCATGCTGCCATCATCCGTGCAGCGACATGCAGCGTCAGCTCCATCTCTCAGCTGGCAGCACCACTAACCACCCATCCTGCGGCGGAAAGCCGGGGACAGTGGCAGCGGGGAGGTTATGGACTTGCACCTCAGTGCTTCTAGCAAGTAGCAGAGAAGAACTGAGACACAGGCTGTCAGACAGGAAGCCCCACACCCCTTCCCTAGTCCCTGACCAAAGTCCAGACAAGGATGGGAAGCAGAGACAGAGCAACCACCTCCATGGGAAAAGTCCTTCCCCCAGTGGCCCCCGTCCAGGTGCTCTGAGAAGGGCCAAGACCCCCGCCACTTCCCTGTCCAGATTTCTGCATCTGACAACCCCAGCCGTGGCTGGTGGTGGACACTGTCAGCCACAGAAGGAACCAGTGTTTGGAGCCAGGCACAAGATAAGGCTCCCTATGTCACAGAGGACTCAAGAGACTCCTGAAGTCACCCGTCGGCTCCTGGGAGGGATGCAGGTGGCCGTGCCTGGCAGTCTGGAGGCCCCCGCTTACCTGTTGTTCCACTTGTGAAACACACAATGGAGAGGTCGTCAGGCTGTGGGGGCTGCAGGAGTAAGAAGAGGTGTGTGTTAGGAGGCCCAGCACGTGCTGCCCATGTGTCCAGACCACTCCACCCCCATTCCCACACGTGTGCCACAGGTGTGTGACATCGTTGTGGGCACATGTGCTGCTGCAGTTGAAAACATGGGCGGGTGAACTCCTAGGATGGGGAGAAGGGGCTGTGCACGCGGATCTTCCCTCCACCTCACCCCAGCTCCCACGACTTCCACCTGCTCAAGGACTAACTGACTTCTAGACGAGGCTGGGCTACAGGGGCCGGGCAGGACTCTACCACAACTCTCGCCTTTCTGTTGGATGTGGCCCACTTTGCTTTTTCCTCCCCTCGTCTCCCAAGGATCCCGGGTCCGCTGGGAGAGCACAAGCAATGGCCCAGGAATTGAGCTGCCCACTGCACCTTCAGGGCGGCTCCCCATCGGGCAGGCCAGTGAACAAAAGAGGGGCCAGTTCTCAAAGGCTGGAGCCTGGCGCTGAGAAGAGCAAACACAGGGCCACCCGGGAAGGCTCTGGGAGCAGCGGGGAAAGCGCACTGGGTGCAGGGAGTGTGAAGGACTGAGTGGAGGGAGGCCCTGTTAGAAACCTGAAACTCTACTTCCCACCACCCCACCCAGGGGCAGCTACCTCCCTGGAGCCCAAGCCCAGGCAGTGCCACATGGGCACGGCACACAGGAAACTCCACCGAGCAAAGATATACAGACAGCGGAAGGCACTTTGCCCAGGGGTTAACTTCTGTTCTATTCCTGTTTCTGTCCATCCCATGCTCTTAAGAATCCACTTTAGTCAGAGAGAAAAAAACAAGACTTCTCCAAGTGCAGTTACTAGAGCAGCACGGGTGGCCAGGACTGGCTGCCCTTTTGTCTTCCTCCCAAACATCTGACTCCTGTTCCAGGTCCCTCGCTGGGCCTTTGGCCCACAGAAGTCTGGGCACCCAAGTGGGATTCCTGAGTTGCACACAGGAGTTGCTTGTTAACTTGGAGGTGCCTGTCTGGCCTCTCCACTGAGCCCTGTGCCCAGCGAGGGGCTCTGCGAAGATAGGCCCTACACGCCATCTTACTTTAGAAAGGCCTGCTGGCAGGCTGGCTTACCACAGGAGCATGGTGATTCTTTTGGCCACAGTCCTAAAAGAAGAAAACGCTGTTTTAAATGCTCCAAGGTTCGCTAGGAAAGTCAAAATAAACTCAGCACAGTAGGCCTCGTTCTTGCACAAAGCCCAGGAGTCCAGGCCACTGCTTACCCACACATCTAGTGGTGGTGAACCTGTGGCATGCGTACTGCAGCGGGCTGTTTGTATCTTTGAAAGCTCTAAAAGCTTCGCCATCCCTGGCCTAGCCCTACTGCATACATTACAGAGATGAGGCCGTAGGCTGAGAGGACAGGTACTGTGCATGTGCCAATGGGTTGGAGACAAGATAGACTGAAGATGCCCACACACATCTGGGCATGTGTGTAAGACAGAGTGGCTTCTGGATGAGCATTCAGTGCCAGGGGACCTGTGGGGGTTGTCAGTGCAGGTGCGGCTGCTTGTAGCACCAGGGGCATAAGTACACAGGCACACAGGTACAGGAGGAGCAGACAGGGAGGCAGAGGAAAATGGGGGGCCTGGGGGCCAGATCAGTAGAGCATAGGGTAGTCAGTGGCTACCAGGAAGGGCCTGAGGCCCTGGCAGTAAGGATGCCCTGTGCCACTCCAGCAGGCCACAAGCTGCACCAATGTCTCGTGTCTGGGGAGGCTACACACAAGCAAGTCAGTTCTGCTGGCTGTGGGGATCTGGCTCCCTTCGAAAGGACCTTTCCAAGGCAGCTGGGCTCATGTCGAGAGCCCGCAGGTGCAGACAGGCTGATGTGAGCTGGAAATGAGGAAACTAGAGGGTGTGAGCACCAAGACCCCCATCAAAGCCATTGGTTGGTGCCGTCAGCGATGGGGCCACAGAGCCTCCTGGTAGAGGACACCTGAGACACCAATGCAGGCATCCACACCCCTTGCAAAGCCTGCCCTGTCATGACACATATACTCAGAGGACCAGAAGAGCAGCCACCCAGGGCACGAGAGGGGCCAACAACCAGCACATCTGAGTGGGCGGCCAGCCGGCAAACGTTGCTGAGGCAGCCTCTTACCTCCACATCCTGCATGGACTTGATGACGACCCCACACTGCCGCCCTCTCTCTTTCAGGGTGTCCTCAAACGGCTCCATGAGGATGACCAGCTTGAGCCCGGGTGTCTCCTTCCTCTCCACATGCTCTAGCAGCAGCACAGCCTTCTGAGGCTTGTCCACGACCACAGTGCTGATGTCCGCTGTGGGGACCATGACAGAGTCAGGCTGTGGCTGGCAGCAGTGTATGCCAGGTAGTGGCACCAAAGGCTGTGTGCGCCACTGCTTGTGTGTCAGCAGATGTGTGAGACCAGCTGTGGGGTCACCTGATGTGTGCAAAGGCATGCACTGGGGGTGCCAGGCGAGTAAAGGGCAGAAGGCTGGGCAACCTCCTGCAGCAGGCTCCAAGCTCTTGGCTTCAGATTCAGCCCCGATCACCCCAAGTCTGCCCAGGACACTCCCTTCTGCCCGGGCATGCTGTTGAGCTGCCTGAAACCTCAGAGGACTGCAGCCTGTGTGGAGGTTGCTCCCAGAGGCTTCTTGTTGGCATCCTGGCCCTGTGGAAGGAGCCTCCAGAGAGGCCTACATGGGGACAGCTGTGACTCAGAAAGCCCACCTAGGAGCCCAGGGGTAAGGCCCTCATGTTTTCTGAGTAGAAGCAAGTGGCTCTTGTCAATGAGTAGGACCAGCATACCTGAGAGGCTGGGACCTGGGAACTAGCTACCAATGGCAGGAAGGGATGGTGGCAGAGCTCACCTGTATTGATGATGTAGCGGATCGCTCCGGGGCCCAGGGTGTCGTACAGAGGGACCACCACCATGGAATATGTGTAGCAGGCCAGCTCTGCAATGATCCACTATGGGAAGACAGGGCCGAGGAGGAGAGAAAGAGATAAGACTGCCCTCCCCTTGGGTCCAGGTGACCAGCATCCCTGCTATGGTCCCTAAGCCTGCCTGACTGTGTGTGGCAAGGAATCCAGAACTAACAGGCTGTGCTTGCTCAGCCCCCTGGACCATGTTCACTCCACCGAATGCTGTAACTTGCAGATTTCATGCGCAGGCAGGCCCAGGCCCACTTCCAGCATCTGCATGGCACTCTGCACCAGGCTTTCCTGCCCTCTGTCTCAAGGAGCAGCTGTTTGTAGCACAGGTATGCTGCGCCTAGAGCCTAACTGTGACGTCCACTCCTGGGGGGCAGACCTGGGTGGGGTGGCAGCATGGTCCTGGGTCTCCACTTTTCCTCTTGTGGGAGTAGGATCATTCTATACTGTGACCCCTCTTCCACCAATACCTCTAAAACCAAGGAGGGCAGATACTCACCTCAGGCCGATTTTGTGCAAAAACACCAATAAACTGATCTGTACTTGCTTTGCAGTTGTGCTGGAGAAGCCCAGATCCCAGGAATTCAGCCCTGTCAGCCACCTGCACACAGATGTGGGAGATGACGGGAGACAAACCCTACGCAGGAGAGCGACCCCTACAGGATCCCTCCAGGTCTGACAGACCTGCCTGGCTCCCGACCCAGGCATGCTGGAAGCCCCTCAAGACTGCTGCCAGAGTTTGGCACAGAGGCCACAATGTAAGAAGTATGCGGTGAGACTCAGCAGGGGTCCATGAGCCCCTCCCCACATGAGAGCCACATCTTCTGGGGTAGACAGCATGACCACACCCTCTGTCACTCACCTCCTGGTAGGAAAGCCACTGGTACGGCTGCTTGGGCTTCCTGAAGCCAAGACAAGGCCCATTCCCTGTGAGAGACAAGCAGAGCTCATAGCGGGGAAAAGGCCAGGGTGGGCAGGCCACTTGTCCTGCCCATCAGGTACCTGGATAGACCCATCCTGAGACTGTCATGCACCAAGTGAACTTTTCCTGGTGCTTGTCCTACCAAGCAGGGCCTCCTCTTACCAGGAGGGCCTAGAGCACACGAGTACAGCACCTCCCTACCATGACTTGCGTGTTAGCTCCCAGTGCAGTGCCAGTGGAGACAGACACCAGAAGCCATCAGAAGCTGCCAGGTGCCTCTCCGTGACTCCCGCCCTTTGTCTCCTCATAACCTGGGCCTCCGAGATGTGGTTCAGAACCTTGAAAGCTAGGGGCCTGACAATTCAGGGCTCACTGTGGGCTGCCAGTGGGTATTGAGAGAATGATGTCTGAAGTCAGGCAGCCTGGGGGCTGAAAGAAAGCTGAGGCCACGCTTGGCCACATAATGTAGCTCCTTCTCCAGCTGGAGGGAGGAGGGCCAGGAGTGTGTTCTCCCTGCTGACATGGGGCTCGCTCATCTGCCATGTCACTGGCACATGCTTGCTTACCCACCCCTGCGTCCGTCCAGCACCTGCCATGGCCCTCTTCATGCCCACAGCCCCTCACCTGAGATGCTAAGGCCCCGGTGGAACACCTGGTACATGGTCCGGGCGTCATCGTAGTAGTGGGTAAGTAACTGAGGGCCTTCTCCAATCACAGATCGCCGGGCCCCACCACTGCCCTGCAAACCAAGCACAGGCCAGAGAAACAGGCTGAAGCAGGCAGAGATGCCAGGATGGGGCCCAGTGCACACAAGGCTGCACACCTGGGGCTGGGAGTGGCTGTGCACACCTGGACTACACACACTCCACCTGTACGCAACCACACTGAAATCTAACTGTTGACACAGGCCCAGTACACTGGTGTCTCACAAACACCCCTGACATGTGCAGCACTCATGCACCTGGTCAGCATACCCAAACTGTCCAGAATCTTCAGTAATGCTTTATCTACAGCTGCACGATGGAATTAGAAGTGTGGCTGGAATCAGCTCTAATTCCCGGCAGGCATTGGCATGGACCTGCTGGTGTTCCCCACCCTGTGATTTGCTGCTATGCCTCTCAGATAAAAATCTCTCAGCTGTCATCTTTAGCTAAGAAGCCTGATGTCCGCCATCCACACAGTGGAGAGCTGTGTTGAGGATGCCCTCCCAGGAAAAGCCCAGGAGTGCTGGCTGGGTATGGCAACAGCCGGTGCAGTGGGCAGGGCCGCGAGCTCTGGGCCACAGTAGGGCAGCTCCAGAGTGAGACGGAGCATGAACCTTCTGTGCCAGGGAGGAGGAAGGGCTAGGAGCCTTCACCGCTTTCTCCCCATCCTTCCCAAAGCCCGGTTCCCCTGTATCACAGCTTGACCTGTTCTCTGAGCATTATTTGGGCTGCTCTGGTCTGGACAGGAGTCTTCCACTTCTAGATCTGAGAACTCTGAGCTGTACCAAGAAAACAGCCACTCAGAACCACTGTTTGGGGGCTGAGAGTTCTATTCAGCGCTTCCTGAGGGCCAGGCCCAAGAAAGATGGGTGGGAAGCCGGGGCACACAGCCTGGTTAGCACCAGGGTGACAGACACAATGTGGACATGACACAGTATGCCCTGAAGAGGAGCCGCTCAAGCAGGCCTGTGTCAACAGAGAAGTGGCATGAGGCTGGGTTCTGAAGGACATACAGGAGCTTTGCAGGAGGAATGAGAATCAGGGAAGGGCAGTCTCCTCACAGGCAACAGTAGGTACAAATGCGCGGGGAAGAACACAGGCAGACAAGGGAACTATGAGCAGCTCATGGACATCGCAGAACAGGCCAGGAGGGCTGCACGTGAAGGCGAGGAGTTCGGACGTCAGGTTGAGACCCTCGGGCAGCCAGGGAGGGACGCAAGCAGGAAGAAGCGGCCCGGTCTGAGTTCTGTCTCTCACCGCCCAGCACAGCAAATGCTGCCAGGCCCGTATGATGTGCTGGCCTCTTTCACCTCATTTCCTGCCACTCTCCTGCACTCTGTCCACCACAGCCACTTGGACTCTGTGCTCCCAGGCACGAGGTCAGGAAGGGACGCCTTAGCTCCTGTCTGCTCAGTTAGAGCCATCTGACGACACATCCTGTGACCCCCACCTCATGCCCTGACCCCATCCAGACCAGGGTGCCTCCCATCCAGTCCCCAGTTCCTTCCTTGGGCCTCCACTTGCATGGCTGCCCTTTCACAACAAAATCAGCCACCTTGCCGTACTGAAAACCCTGAGGAAATCCATGCTGCCTGTCCTGAGAGTCCCTGCCCAGCCCTGGGGCTCCGTCCTTGCTGACCTCTCCGGATGAGTCATGATTTAAGCTCAACTAAATTTTGCCCAGTGACTTATCTGTACCATCACACCAAATCCTGACCACCCAAAGAAACCTCTCTCCACCATTTTGGTGCTGGGGATTAAACCCAGGCCTCTGCACTAACAAATATTCTCAACCCTTTGTTGTTGTTTTCCTTTTTGTTGTTGTTATTAAATAACAATTTGTAACCAAAACTTTAGTCCCAAAGAGTCTCACAAAACGTATTACAAATGACAGCATGAAAAAAAATCTTGCACAGTAATGCAAAAGTTCAGCTCTACAGGGAACCCTTAAACCGGCAGGACGTTGGTTCTTTGAAATCTCAGGTTTCCAAATAAAGAGACCAACAGCTATGTCCTCGCGCACAGCATCCCAGAAGGAACACTTGGGACCCAGCAAAGGCCACTCCCTTGAAATTTGCCTGATTCCATACCAACCAGGAAGCTTCTGCCCAGGATAAAGACCAGTTCCATTTTTAGAACCACGCTCACCTAGTTCTGCGTGTGGCCTTTATCTGTACCCGGTGGCATGTTCGGATACTATGATCTCAGCTATGAAACAGGTCTTGCTTTTTTGGCCAGTTTTGTTTCTGTAACATTAGAACATCACACTTTAGGCAGAGTTTAGAGATTTATTTTCAGTCTGTGCAAGACTAAAGTTCAAAGCAAATTTAATTTTGCTTAAAGGAACATTGTAAAGTAACAATTCTTGGTATTACATGCTTTGTCTGATTCACCTCAAACCAGAGAAAATTACATTGTTGTGTCACTGTTCCAAGACACAAAGGTGAACAGCTAAAATATCTTAAAAATGCATCAGGCTTATGACGTCTCAAACAAAACTTGGATTTTCTGTGCATACTCCTGTCAGTGAAGTTAGTTCCTGTACCCCACTTCTCCTGCAAACCAATCTTCTATTTGCTCTCATTTGACCTAGATCAGCGGCAAGAGAAACTTCTTCAAGGAGATCTGCGGGGAGGGGGAGGACTCCTATGATAATCATCTCAGGGGCGCTGACCCCAAGAAGGAGGGCCATGATTTTGACTTCTCTTTTCACCATTGGGCAGTTCCACTCAGACACAGCAGCCATATAATGTTCTTCCATCTAGCTCTCGGACAGCATCCACTGCATCTCTGGTAATCCTCAAATTCAAAGAAAGCAAAGCCAGGAGGGTTTCTAGCACCCCCCACACTGCAGTGGAAAGCACATTCCAGCTCCCTCTCATTGCTATTGTTGCCAAGATTCCCTATGTAACCTTACAGTCCAATGGGCAAGAATCAAGATGCATCTCAAGATGCGGGGTCAGAAATGCAGAGGTTCAAAATCACACACGCCCAGTGGCTCTTCCCGCTCCGCTCCAGCTCAGCTCCTCTACACACACTCAGTTACCCAGCATCCACAAAATGGCGTGTTTTACATTTTGAGACAGAGTCTTGGTGAGTTACCCATGTTGGCCTGCAGTCTGTGATCCTCCGCTTTGGTCCTCCCTTCCCTGTCCCATAGTAGCTAGAACTGCACGCTTGTGCCACTGCCCCTGAGCAGGTACACATTGTTCCTACCACATTACTAAACAGGACGCTGAGTCTCAGAGAGCTAAGAATCTGGCAGGACACACACAGCTCCTAGAGGCACGACCCTGTGCTCACTGCAGAGCATCCCCCAGCGCTCACAGCCAGCGGGCAAGTCCAACCCTGCACCACACCTTTTCCCAAAGCACTGGTGCTTCACACACACCTCTGCCTCCCTGAACAGCACCTGCTGGGAAAGTGCCCTCGGGGTCCAGCCCCCAGCCTGACCTGTACCCTCCAGCTGGGCAAAACATTGCTGTGTTGATCATCCTTAAGATGTGTCCTTCCAGCAGGTAAGCGGGAGGGGGATGGTTAGAGACAGTATTTGCTTGAGGTTGGGACAGAAGTGGTAGCACAGGTTGCCTCAGGGGAGAACTGGGCACCTGGGAAAGAAGGTCAAAGCTTTCTGCATATGCCTTTTGCTTCTTGCTGGCATGTGAGTACATTGTCCATTAAACATGAATAGAATGAAAGTTTAGAAAAAAAGCAAACACTAAAAAGGCAAAATAATGGGGCCAGGGAGATGGCTCAGTAGAATAAGCACTTGCCTGGCAAGTGCAAGGGTCTGAGTTCAATCCCCAGTTCCAAAAAAAAAAAAAAAGCAAAATAAAATTCTACATGCTTAGTGAAGAAGCGGATCTCACCAGTTCTTCCAGGCTCCTCCCCCCACACTCCAGTCTGTTGGACCACCATACTCTTTCCTCACAGGGCTCCACCTCTGAGCCCATAGGCCCTGAAGGGGCAGGTCCTCAGTGTGGAAAAGATTAAAAGGTTGGCAGCAATGCCGAGCGTAGTGTCTAGGAGAGCTGGGCTTTGCTCTGGGTCCCCGCACTGACCTGACCGGGTCCAGGGGAAGTTTGGGAGGGAAATTGCCCAGGAGCCCCTGAAGACCTGCCTAGCCAATGGAGGCCCCAACTGAAGAGGCAGGCAGCCCAGAAGCCCCATGCGAGGACTAGGCAGGCTGTGGGGAGGGACGCCTACTCAAGGCTGTGCAGTGTGCTGGTTAGCTGCCAGGGCCAGGGCCACAAGTTTGACTTCTGCCTACAAGACGCCTGTCCTCTGCTTGTTACTTGCTGCCACCAGGTTGCCCCCACCCTACTCACCTCCACTTCTTCCGACTGCATCAGAAGATCACATGGTGGAGTCAAGGCTTTCGGCCGGTGAGTAAACCAGTAGGCGAGGACGGCAGCCAAAGCACCCATACTCACAAGGGTGGTGGCCGACAGGCTGCGAAAGAACTGGCCCAAGTCACCCATCTCAGGCAGCCGCAGTATCCTCAGAATCTCCTGTGTCTGCATCTTCTCCAGAAGTGAGAGAACAAACTCTGTAAGAGACAGGAGGCAGATGAAGGAGTAGACAGGAAGGCAGGCCCTAGGGGTGGGGGACTTTCGGTCACAGGTGACCCTGGCCCAGTGCACTGAAGGGCAGGCCCTGTGTAAGTTGGGGTGTACAGTTTCCTGGTGTAACACAGTGCATCCCAGAAACTGGCTACCTAGAAAGGGCTATTCCTGGTAAGAGGCTAGAGCCCTTAGGACTCACCCCTGGCAGTCATCTGGCCCACTTTCCCTGAGAACCGCAGGCTCAGGCCCTGCACTATGGCTCACACCTGTTTCTGAGTCAAGGAGCAGCTCTGAGCATAGAGCCTCTGTCACATGCTTGTGACCTGTGTTTCATTTATCTTTGCTACTAGAGTGTGGAAAAGATTAAAACGTTGGCAGCAAGGCCTAGCACAGTGTCTAGGAGAACTGGGGTCACGGGATGGAGGTTCCACCTTGCTCTGGCTCTAAGCTCTCAGCCCAGCCCTGACTCTGACAGAAAATGAAGAGGAGTGGGGCCGCTTCCACAGACAAGCCTAGACAGACGCCCACAGGCCTCACAACAGGAAGCTGCAGCCACCTGGACATGAGACCTGGACACAAGACACAAGAGCAGAGGGCTCAGCATCGCCACACGTTAGGTCAAGAAGCATGGCTTGGGGCCGGGGAGATGGCTCAGTAGGATAAGCGCTTGACGGGCAAACGCAAGGATCTGAGTTCAATCCCCGGTTCCACCAAAAAAAAAAAAAAAAAAAAAAAGAAGCATGGCTGGCCTATTGCTAACTGTACCCTGAGCCCTTCGGCCAGTGTCCACAGGAAAGGGGGAGAAAGGGGAACAGGTGTTACACTGTCAAGAAGAGAAAGCACCAAGGATCTTGGAGAAAAGGCTCTGCTGTTGGATGTCACAGATGATGGCCAGGTTATCATCATCACCCACGGTGGCCTACGTGGTAAGGTGGGCTCTCAGGGACACAGGGAGAAGCCCTGCAGTAGACAATGAGCAGGCTTTGGTTCTAAGAGGACAGGTTCAGAGGGCATCTGTGTCCTCAGGGCAGTGCACCAGCCAGGTGGGAGCAGAGTTCTCTGGCCAGGACTGACAAAAGGTATTGGGGGTTGTTGGCATCGCACTGGGACCCCTTTGTGTCACTGCCCTGTAATGATGGTGGGTGGGTTCTACCTGCCACCCACTGCCCTCAGGCACTCCCCCAGATGGGCCTTCAGTCCTCAGAAGCAGTGGCTGTGGTTTTCCTTCTTGGGAACAAGAAGAAATGCAACAGTGGCTACTCTGCAGCCACTGAATACCAGCCAAACAATTGCTTGACCCTCAAGGGAGGAGATAGCTGCTGAAATTCCAATAAATGGTATTTGCGCTACACTGTAACCTCCCCACATGGAGATGAAGTCAGTGGTACTGGGGAGGGGAGACAGAGAGCCAGACAGAGCTATCTTCCGCTCATGTCTTTTCTTCACTTGTAAGTGGTGCTCGACTGAGCCTCTACTTCCCTCAAGAACATAAAAGCTCCCCTCGCTACTCCTGGCGTGGTCACAGAACTACAGTCACAGAACTAAAGAGCTGGCCAAGGGATATGGTTGTCAGACCAAGGGTTGCTCAACCTAGGGCTCACAGCCAAGGGGCAGGGAGGACCCCTGAGCCAGGCTGGCCTGAATGCAAGGCAGAGGAGGAGGGCTCAGGCCTGTGGGACCATGGAAGGAGTCTATGCTCCCCAGGTGCAGAGGTGGTGCAAGCCTGGAGGATCGTCACCGCCCCTCCACAGGCTCTGGGGTTCCTAGGAGCAGGGAAAGGGGCCTCCAGCCAGGTGGAGAAGTCCAGGCCACCTTCTTACCTGGATTGGTTGTGAGGGCATAAGCCAGGGGGACCCAGCCCTAGCAAACAAGTTTCAGTAAGGTTCCATACCACCAAAGCAGAGGACCAGACTACAGAGAACTGGCCACAGAAAGCCTGTGATGGGAGTATTGGATCTTTTGACCAGCTGGCCTCTAGGGGACAGTGAATTCCCCACACTACAGATGTGGTGGCCAAGTCACAGCCAGGCCTATCAGATAGAAAACTTTCTACTCGGTGGAAAATCTAGGCAAACTTGCCACCTCCCGAGGCGGGCTCTGAACTAACTGACATTCCCATTAATGAACTGAACTGACTCAGTAGGCTGAAAAGCCAAAGCCCAAGAAACCTGAGTAACCCTCACAGATGAGCCACATGGTCCCAACAGTCTTGAAGACAGCCTGAAAGGAGCTCCTGGTCTTTGGCATTTGCTGATAGACCCCAAGCTTCAGGAGAAAATAGGTATTTGTGGCATTAGGTACAGTGTAGAATAGTAAACAGGTACAGCTATTCACCTATCTATCCACCCACCCATCTATTTATCCATCCATCCTTCCTTCCTTCTGTCCACCCATTTATCCATTCACCCATCCATCCATCTATCCATCCATCCATCTATCCACTTACCTATCCATCCATCCATCCATCCACCCATCCATCTATCCACCCGTTCATCTATCTACTCACCTATCCATCCATCCATCCATCCATCCATCCATCCATCCATCCATCCATCCACTTATCCATCCATCTATCCATCCATCTATCCATCCATCCATCCATCCATTCATTCATCCATCCATCCATCCACCCACCCATCCATCTATCTATCCACCCATCCACTCACCTATCCATCCATC